AGGGCATTCACTGAACTGGAATTACTACCAAAATTTCCTATTTAACCACACAAGGCAATATTAGACTGTCGGACAAAAATATTCTGTCAGCCATTCATGATCTGAATTCTGGTGTATGAGAATTAAATTATGGCGCACATAAAAAAAGTCACGGGACATTGCTGTTTTGTAATAAATAAGGCAGTGGCCAGCTATTATTCATTCGTAGTTTTTTTGAGATAAGCTATCAAGTCTGCCCAGCGAAGATCATTTTGGTTCCAGGGATGTATTTCTTGGGATTCTCCAAATACTCCATCAGAGTGTCCTCTCCCCAGGTGATGCCTTTGTTCTTGTTGGCGTCTGTGTAGAAGACGGCCTGACCTGTCTTCCGCCTGAACAGACCATGGAGATTTGGTCCAGTCTTGTGCTTGCCTCCTTTTTCCACAGTGTGGCACTGGGCACATTTCTGAACAAAAATCTTCTTGCCTTTCTCAACATCACCCATTTTTAACTCTCTCATTAGTAGCTCACACCCTAAAGGAAGGCACTGGGAAGCTGGATGTCCCGCTCACTAAGCCCAAGGACACGCCGGCCTGCGCCTAAGTACCGGCGTTCCATTGTTTTTAAATATTATAAAAACTATGCTTTTTTCAACTATATTTTCATTTTCTGTCATTAAAAATGAGAAGTTTGATAATAAAACAATGCCCAGGCCGGCGCCGCAGCTCAATACGCTAATTCTCCGCCTTGCGGCGCTGGCACACTGGGTTCTACTCCCGGTCGGGGCACTGGATTCTGTCCCGGTTGTCCCTCTTCCAGACCAGCTCTCTGCTGTGGCCAGGAGTGCAGTGGAGGATGGCCCAAGTGCTTGGGCCCTGCACCCGCATGGGAGACCAGGAGAAGCACCTGGCTCCTGGCTTTGGATCAGTGCAGTGCGCCGGCCGCAGTGCGCTGGCCATTGGAGGGTGAACCAATGGTAAAGGAAGACCTTTCTCTCTCTCTCTCTCTCTCTCACGGACTACTCTGCCTGTCCAAAAAAAAAAAAAAAAAAAAAAAAAAAAAACAACAAACCACACCAAAAACAAAAACAAAAACAAAACAAAAAACAACAAAACAAAACAAAACAAAAACCAAACACCTTGCCCATTTCAGGATTTGGAAAGCCAGGACTATAGTGAATAGCAATGGTGAGAGAGGGCATCCTTGTCTGGTTCCAGATCTCAGTGGGAATGCTTCCAACTTTTCCCCATTCAATAGGATGATGGCTGGGGGTCTGTCATAAATTGCCTTGTGTTAAGGAATGTGCCTTCTATACCCAATTTGCTTAGAGTTTTCATCATCGAAGGTTTTGTATTTTAACAAATGCTCTCTCAGCACTTATTGGGATAAATATAAGTTTCTGTTTTTCAGTTTCTTAATGTGATATATCATATTGATTGATTTGTGAATGCTGAACCATCCCTGCATACCAGGGATAAATCCCACTTGGTCTGGGTGAATGATCTTTCCGATGTGATTTTGGATTCGACTGGCTATAATTTTGTTGAGGATTTTTTTGTGTCTATATTCACCAGGGAACTTGGTCTGTAATTCTCCTTCTCTGCTGAGTTTTTTCTGAGTTTAGAAACTAAGGTGATGCTGGCTTCATAGAAATAATTTGGGAGGATTCCCTCCCTTTCATTTGTTGTGAATAACTTGAGAAGAACTGTAGTTAGTTCTTCTTTGAATGTCTGGTAGAATTCAGCAGTGAAGCCGTCGGTCTTGGGCTTTTCTTTGTTGGGAGGGTCATTATTACTGATTCAATTTCCGTCTTGGTTATGGGTCTGTTTTTGTGTTAAAGTCTATTTTGTCTGATATTAGGACAGCTACACCAGCCCTTTTTTGGTTTCTGATAGCATGGAATATCTTTTTCCAACGTTTTATTTTTAGTCTGCAAGCATCTTTGTTGGTGAGATGTGTTTCTTGCATGCAGCAAATAGATAGGTTTTGTTTTTTAATCCATTCAGCCAGTCTGTGCCTTTTAACTGGGGAGTTGAGGCCATTTACATTCAGGGAGACTATTGATAAACAATGGTTTGCCCAGTCATTTTTCCATAAATATTCTTGTTTTTCACTTTGGATTTCCTTCGTACTTTTACTGGGATATTTACTTTCTTTAACTTGTTTTGTAGTGATAACCATGTTTCTGTGCGCAGCACATCCTTAAGCATCTTCTGCAGGGCTGGAAGGGTAGTGACAAATGCTTTCATTTTCTGTTTGTTATGGAAACTCTTTATTTCACCTTCATTCATAAATGAGAGATTTGCATGGTATAGTGTTCTGGGTTGACAGTTTCTCTCTCTCTCCTTTTTAAAAGATTTATTTATTTATTTGGAAGTCAGTGTTACACACAGAGAGAAGGAGCAAGAGAGAAAGAGAGAGAGAGTCTTCCATCACTCCCTAAATGGCCTCAACACTGGGGCTGCACCAATCCGAAGCCAGGAGCCAGGAGCTTTTTCCCGGTCTCCCACATGGGTGCAGGGCCCAAAGACTTGGGCCATCTTCTACTGCTTTCCCAGGCCATAGCAAAGAGCTGGATGGGAAGTGGAGCAGCTGGGACTTGAACCGGCACTCATAATGGAATGCCTGCAATGGAGGCTTTACTGACTACGCCACAGCACTGGCCAGTTTTTTTTCTCTTAAGACTTGGAATATATCTTACCATTCTCTCCTAGCATGTAGCGTTTCTGATGAGAAGTCCACTGTGAATCTAACTAGAGATCCTCTGAAAGTAATCTGTGTTTCTCTCATGCATATTTTAGAATGTTTTCTTTGTTTTACTGTGGAGAGTTTGATTACAATGTGTTGTGATGAAGATCTTTTCTGGCCATGTCTATTAGGAGTTTTATATGCTTCCTGTGTTTGGATGTGTCTTTCTCCGAATTAGTGAAATTTTCTGTTATTATTTCACTAAAAAGGCCTTCTAATCCTTTCTCTCTTTCCACACCTTCAGGAACTTCTAGAATCTGTATGCTGGGTCATTTGATAGTAATCTGTAAATTCCCAACAGTGTTTTTTAGTTTCTAATTTCTTCTTCTGTGTTTGGTCTGACTGTATAATTTCCTGTGCTTTTTCTTCTAAGTTGAATACTTGTTCTTCTGTTTCACGGATTATATGTTTTTAAGGCATTTTTAATTTGTTCTATTGAATTATTCATTTCTAAGATTTCATTTTGATTTAAGATCTCAATTTTGTGAGATAAATTTTCTTTCCTGTCATGTATGGATTTGTTTGTGCATTTATTTCTGATTACTTTTAAGTAATTCTATGATCAATTTTTTTTATTCCATTTCTGGCATTTCTTCAATCTCATCATCTTCACAATCTAGTACTGAAGTGTTGTGTTCTTTTGGGGACGTCATGTTGTCTTCCTTATTCTTATTTCTTGAATTGGTGCATTTGTTATTTGGCATTTGTGGAGATACTCCTTGGTTTCTGTGTTTTTACCCCATTGTGGCTTTTATCTTCAGACTATGTGTGGATTAGTGGAGTATCTGCTTTCAGAGAATATCTAGAGGCGTGTCATGAGTGTGGCCAAGGAGCTCTGTTCAGTGCTCCTGGATGAAGGGCGTGTCTGAGGTGACACACCCAGGTTTGGCGGGGTAAATTTTTTTTTTTTTTTTTATCAGAAGGGAGGTTTGTGCTTGTCGGCATAGACTCAGCTGAGCTCTTCTCAAAGGAGAGCAGCACATGGGCACTAGCCCCCCTGGGGATATTATTCGTCCGCTTTGCCCCAAGGACTACACAAAGGATATGTGTAGTCCTCAGTACAAGCTCCGATTCCCCAGCAGTGTCTCTTGCCAGGTAACCAGGGAGCCCTGATGGTGTGGAGCCTCCCACAGTGACAGCCCAAAGTCCCAGCCACGTCCTGAGTCCTCCCATGTAGCCTCAGTGTTTTCACAGTCCTGGCACACAAGCCTCCCACAGTCACGAGCACCCAGCCCCCTCTCCTCCCCACCAGACTCAGGAGTCTCTGCTTGGCTGGTTGCTGGGCGGGGACACAAGCTGGCGCAGCTGTTACATGTCCAAAATGGTGCCTGGTCTCTATCAGGCTGTTTCAGGACACAGTTGCAGGGTGATCGGGAAAGAGAAAACGTGCCCCCTCCTTTGTTTTTTCTCCTCTAGTTTGGCAGGTACACTATCCCCTGTGGGGCTCCAAGCCAGATTCCCTCCAGGCTCTTCCTGCAGCCTTTTCACCAGTGGCTTGGGCTGCTGCAGTCTGATCTTACCTCACTCTCCAATGCTGGTTCGGAGGCTCTCAGCTGCTGGGATCCTGAGATGTGCGTGTTCTCACCCTCCATGTAGGTCCACTGTGTCCCTCCAATATTCATAGTTTCCTCTGCTGTTTTCTCCCTAACTCATCCCTGAGACTGCACACTCTCCACTTTTTTTTTAAAACTAAACTAGAAGGCTGGCACCACGGCTCACTAGGCTAATCCTCTGCCTTGCGGCGCCGGCACACCGGGTTCTAGTCCCGGTCAGGGCGCCGTATTCTGTCCCGGTTGCCCCTCTTCCAGGCCAGCTCTCTGCTGTGGCCCGGGAAGGCAGTGGAGGATGGTCCAAGTGCTTGGGCTCTGCACCCGCATGGGAGACCAGGAGAAGTACCTGGCTCCTGCCTTCGGATCAGCGTGGTGCGCCGGCAGCAGCGGCCATTGGAGGGTGAACCAACAGCAAAAGGAAGACCTTTCTCTCTGTCTCTCTCTCTCACTGTCCACTCTGCCTTTCAGGAAAAAAAAAAAACAAAACAAACAAACAAAAAAAAACTAAACTAGAGCAGCAAGCTCCCTTCCTACTCCATCTTAATCCTCACCTCCATACTTGTTTCTTTTAAATGAAATTATTATTCAGACTGAGTTCAGTATCATAATATTAAAATGATATATTCCTCATTTTTAAAAACTCCAAAAGGTTTTCACAGAATAAGATATATACAAATAAGTACATAGAACTAACTCACACAGAAAATGTTCAGTATTCCTTACCTGACATGTCTGCTGAGTCACCTGTAATGGAAAAGCAGCAGAAAAATCATTATCCATAGAGTAATAATCTATAAAAATATCGACATTAACAGTAAAATTTGCAAAAACTCAATTATACTTCTAAATAATTTAAATAAACTATCATATGTAATCAGTTTTACTATATCACATTGAACAATGAAAGCACTCATTTGAATCATACATTCATTTTAACATTCTATGTATGATCTTTTCATCTTTCTTTATATAAAAAGGTTTGCATTTAATGAGTTACATAAAATGTTAATTATAATAACCTTTAAAATAGTATTGATATGATTTCAACTGATATGACTTTTATTTTGGCTTACAAAAGATTCTGTTATTAAGCCCTTTGGAATATTACCATACCTCTCTCTGCAGTAAAGAGTTAAATCTAAACCTACTGAGAGACACAATGGTAAACTTAAGAAAGAAATAGTTCTTTAAAGATTTTTACATGTGTAAAACTTATGCATAATTTTGCCAAGAAAATGTGAAACCCTATATTCGTTATATTTGTGGCAAAAATACCTATTAATCAAATATTTAAAAGTGACAGTCTTTGGCAAGAAAGAAAAAAGTAAAATTCTAGGAATCCACTGAAGAGTAGTAATTTTTTTGCACTGGTGGAGTCTGACATATGTATAAGATAATCATTTCAAAGATGTATTGACAACATAAGGCCCTACGCTCTTGAACTGGGATGTGAGGGAAGACAGCATAAAGTACTTGACGCTGCCCAGCAGGCTTCACAGGAAGTACTACTTTTAATTCTGAACATGCTCTGAAAACAACCAGATGGCTGCAGGACCCTGAATTGACCTCATGAAGAATGGCTGAAAGAGGGGAGTGTTTAGCTTGGACATCAGGCTCAACCTAAATATCTAGAGTCCAGACAAGAACATAAATGAAGGCCTAAACATCCCAGGCCTACATATCTCAAAGCTACCAATCAAGATAAAAATTATCAAATGAAATATGTTCTATCTTCTTATCTTGAATATATCCATATAATGACCTAGAAGGTCTGGTACAAATTTAGAACTCCTGGAGTTTGGGCAACATAAGACAACCTGTCCCACTCTGTCTCTCATGTTCCATTCCACACCACAAGGAGCCAAGGAAGCTCATGTATGGTGTTGTGGATAAATGTTTGCATCCCCTCCAAAATTCATATATTGAAACCCTAATCCTGGATGTGATAGCATTAGGATGTGGGGTCTTTGGGAAATAACTGGGTCATGAGGACGGAGGCGTCTTGATGATATCAGTGTCACTAGAAGAAAAGACATGACAAAAATCTTTCACTTCCCTGAGAAGATCTGATGAGAACATGGCCATCTGCAAACCAGGAAGAGGGACTCACCACAACCCAACCATACTAAATCAAGATTTTGGACTTCTAGATCCAAGAGCTGGAGAAATAAATTCTGTTGTTTGAGCTACCTAGTCTATATTTTTTATGGGAGCCCAAACTAAGGCATGTGGTTATCCCAGCTTGTGAATCAAAATTCTATCCACCCTTACCCAGTGGAGAACCACTCTTGGGCCTTGCACTGGTCATGCAAGACTATTTGGTAGAGAATTCTGGGATTTCAGATACCCCAAGTATGGTACGTTGGAAAGGTTGGCTCCTCCCCCCAAGGAAAGCAATCCCATTGCTGTAATGCAGACTTTGTCCTGTACAACGTAGCTGGAGGATGTCCAAAGTGGACGCTTCCAAAAGAGAAGCACTATATAAGACTCAGGGAAAATAGGATGGTTGTCTTCAAAACGGGAAGACAATGTCTCAGGAATAAGTGATTGGATAGATACTAGATACTTCAAGAATGAGAACCAGTGTGAAGCAACACAGAGAAACAAACACTTTATAACTGAGCTCTCTAGGGAGAAGTTAGATGACTTAATTAGGCATAAAGTGGTGGTGGGGTTCAAGCATATAATGATAGACTAGATAAAATGGTCCTGAGATTCTAAGATGCTAGCCAAGAAAAAAGTGTAATCCTAACTAGCTAAAATACCACATGATTAAATAATTATTCTATGATCTACTCGATTTTTAAACATAAACATTTTAAGCAATGTTTTGTGTGCCCATGGGCATTAATCAAATTTGCCAGCAAAGTAACCACTGATATAATGCTCCTTATGTTCAGAATAGATAGTGTCTCTCCTCATCCCTCAAGTCTTCCTTTGAGTCTACCTTAATTAGTCATAATAGTAAAGCATTTTTGTTATCTATTTTATAGAAGGATGTAAATGGGGTAAGACATAGAGAAACATGCATGATCTAAATTCACCTCTGAACTGCCCCCATTTTGATTTGGAAAGAGAAAGGGCAAATGATGAGCCTTTCTATAATCCCTGTAATGTTACCTTTCACAATAAAAGGAAAGAAAAGAAGAACAGGGCCAAATTTCTGAAGGATTAATTTGTGAGTGTGACATTTCCTAACGAAAAGATAAATGTGAAGCATTAATATAAGTAAGTAATGTTGCTTAGCTGGGAGAGAAGGGGGAAAAATGGAGAAGAAGTCGGCAAATCAAAGAACTATACCTTTTAGAATTCTATTTACACAAAAATTCATTATATAGAAACTGGTCTTTTTATAAGCTGTTTGTATCCCTATCACCTAGAACAATACTTCACACATGGTAGGTAACTTAGTATGTTTTTTGAACAAATGAATTTACTCAATAAAAATAAATGGAGTAATAACTATGTGCCAAGAGGCACTGAGCTAGGTGCTTAGTAACATGGTCTCCCCAATGGGTCTCACCCTGGTACACAGTGAAAATAAGACTTCTCTTCCAAAAAACAACACAAAGAGGGGCCAGACTTATGCATTTATGTACAAAGATGAGAATATTTTGTGTGACGAGTGACGCAATGGTCTATTTTCAATGGTCGACTAGAAAACTATACAGAAAGGAAAAACAGCTACAGAACCAGACAACCCAGAGAACGTGCTCCTGACTGATCAAGTTAATACTTGCATGAAAAATAAAGATATCAAAAATATAAATGATCTTATTTGGGGCCGGTGCTGTGGTGCAGCCGGTTGATGCCCTGGCCTGAAGCACCGGCATCCCATATGGGTGCCGGATTGAGACCTGGCTGCTCCACTTCCAACCCAGCTCTCTGCTGTGGCCTGGGAAACTAGTAGAAGATGGCCCAAGTCCTTGGACCCCTGTACCTGCATGGGAGACCTGGAAGAGGCTCCTGGCTTCAGATAGGCACAGCTCCAGCCATTGCAGCCAATTGGGGAGTGAACCATTGGATGGAAGACTTCTCTCTCTCTGCCTCTCCTCTCTCTGTGTAATTCTGACTTTCAAATAAATAAATAAATCTTTAAAAAAAATGATCTTATTCAAGAGGAAAAGACACCTAGAAAGCTAGCTCACTGAGATGCAATAAAACTAGTGATTTCAATAATTTTTTTTGACAGGCAGAGTTAGTGAGAGAGAGAGAGGCAGAGTTAGTGTGAGAGAGAAAGAGAGAAAGGTCTTCCTTCCATTGGTTCACCCCCCCAAATGGCCACTACGGCCGGCGCGCTGCGCTGATCCGAAGCCAGGAGCCAGGTGCTTCTTCCTGGTCTCCCATGTGGGTGCAGGGCCCAAGCACTTGGACCATCCTCCATTGCCTTCCCGGAACACAGCAGAGAGCTAGACTGGAAGAGGAGCAACCAGGACAGAATCCGGCGCCCCAACTGGGACTATAACCCGGGGTGCCGGTGCCGCAGGCGGAGGATTAGCCTAGTGAGCTGCAACGCTGGCTGATTTCAATAATTTTTACATATTACACCAGAGTTGTGAAGATGTAATTGACCAAATCTACTATGCAGTATCCACAGTGATAACTAGTGTAGATATGTCCTAAACAGAACGGCTATTCTCTTGGAGTTTTCCCCTTTTTTTTAGAAGTTTTTCACATAATAAAAGGTGACAGCATGACACTGCACTTCAAAGCAGCTGGTGAACTGGATCAACGCCAAAGGGAAAAAAAAAAAGTAGCAGAGATCCACCAACAGTTCTGGGTTCTCTCCATTCTGGTCTACTTCCTTCCAGGCTCTCCTTTTAACCATTTCCTCTTCAAATTCTTCCTTTCTGCTTTTTATGCTATGGAATTAAATATTTTTGGTGATGAGAAATTCTTACTAAAGGACTAACTCCAACTATTTCAATCACCATAAAGTCATTTATATTAAATTCTTAAGTGTCTGAACTAATTCATATTACCAAAGTGGTGACCGGAAAATACTTAGAAGCAAATTGGTATGTGCTCTATGTACATATAGCTTTTGAACAATCTACCACTACATTTTAATTTTTTCCTAGAATACTGAATTTATCTGAATAAAATCCTTCAAATTACTTCTTTTTAAAATATAGAAACATACCTACTTGGCCAGTTGCCACAATGTTGATAAACTTGGGGTGCTGATTTACAGTGAGGCACAGAATGTCATCATTATGTTCCTGATAAAAACTCTGAGTTCCTATAAAAATAGAATTAGAGGATTCTTTGAAAAGTTTAAGATGGAACAGCCAAATGCACTCATCCAAGGAAAGGAACTATTCTTTAATGTATTTGCTTATTCAATACATATTTTTGAGCACTTCCTATGTATACACACATCATCATGAAGACAGAAAAATGAATCAGGAATCTTAGGGGATAGAGCCCTATATAATACAGAACCATATAGCACAGATACTAAGTGCCACATGAGAGTAAAGGATCAAAATGTTACCGGATTCAGAGCAAAAAACAGTACTCTCATCACAGGCATAGGGCATTCCTGCACTGACTCAGACAGACTCTGTGAATGAGAAGGTGGGAAGGGAAGGGCAGAGAAACACTTCAAGGCACAAAGGGCAGTTTTAGGTATGCATAGAGATGGTTCATTTGGCTGAAGTGTTATGAAGATGAAAAAGTAAGTAATATGCTTAGAAAGGCAAGCTGGGACTGGAATTATAGAGGATTTTAAATGTTAGCTTATGATCTTTCTGTTTTGATTTCCTAAAGGGTCACAGGGAAACCAGCAATGATTTTCCATTCAATATTTGGCCATGTTTATTCATATTTTGTATTTATCCTGTAGTTAGCAGGAGGCACTGAAGTTTCTTGATCAAAGGTGTACTGGGATTCGTCTAGCAACAGTGACACAGAAGAGAGCGCAGAAAACTATGATGGTCACCCACGCAGGAGGTAACAGAGGTGGGCTTGTGCCAGTGAGGTGAAGAAGTGGGAAATGAGGTCAGAGCAGTAAGCTGGATTCAGATTACAGAGGGCTATGAATATCAGGTTTTCCAGAAAGCAAAACAAAACAAACAAAATCCAGCAACTACATTTAACAGACCTAATAGATAATATTTTAAAACTTCTCAAACTGAAATATGCTTCATATTATCCAGGGCTGAGTTCAGCTGAAGGGATAAATGAGTAGTTACGTGTGGTACGTGTTGTTGGCTAAGTTGGCAGAAGACTGGCTCATAGATCAAGACTTCTAGACTATGAACATAGCATGGATCCCTAAACTGGGAAGAGATGGAATAATCAGAACCAAAGCAAGTGTTTCCCCTCAGTCCCCCAGCCCTTTCTCTCACATCTCACCATCAGAAAGCTGATTCAGCCGGCGCCGCGGCTCACTAGGCTAATCCTCCGCCTAGCGGCGCCGGCACACCGGGTTCTAGTCCTGGTCGGGGTGCCGGATTCTGTCCCGGTTGCCCCTCTTCCAGGCCAGCCCTCTGCTGTGGCCAGGGAGTGCAGTGGAGGATGGCCCAGGTGCTTGGGCCCTGCACCCCATGGGAGACCAGGAAAAGCACCTGGCTCCTGGCTCCTGCCATCGGATCAGCGCGGTGCGCCGACCGCAGCGCGCCAGCCGCGGCGGCCATTGGAGGGTGAACCAACGGCAAAGGAAGACCTTTCTCTCTGTCTCTCTCTCTCACTGTCCACTCTGCCTGTCAAAAAAAAAAAAAAAAAAAAAAAGAAAGCTAAGCTGATTCATTATTGACATGACATTAAAGATAAACTTATAAGAATAAACATCAGTATTTTCATATTCATTCCTTCCTTATCTTCTTTCTGTTCTCTTTAAAGGACAGGCAAAGCCTCAATTGAAAGGATTTTCTCTTAAAGTAGCACTTTTAAAATGGCCTACATTATTAGATGGAAAATTGCCACCCATTTCTGGTTGATCCTGGTGAATCTTTTTCTTTAGGAAATCAAAACAAAAGGATCATATTTGTTAGTATTGACCAGGAGTAGGGGATTATGACTCACATAATCAATTTATTCTACCAATTTAGAATGAAACTATCATGGGAAAAGGCAGAATGTTTGGGCCAGCAACCTCTATTTTTATGTACAACTTTCAAACCTCATGAGGTTTGCAATTATAAGTAATTAAACAGAATTCGAAATTAAATACTTAATGTTACTAGTGGGACTATCATATTGGTCATCAAATGGTGCTAAAGTACTTCATTTGTTCTTCAACAATTCAATTAGTTAAATAAATATCAAGAAATATTTTTATGATTTCTTAGACCAAACAAGTTAACATCAGTATAGCCAAAGTCCAGCAGCTTTGTAAGGCCTCAGTGGGAACAATCCTCCACCCAGAAAGCATGCACCCAACCTGCTACTTTAAATCAGAGGGCCAGTGCTGTGGTATAGCGGGAAAAGCTGCTGCCTGTAGTGCTGGCATCCCATATGTGTGCCGGTTCGAATTCCGGCTGCTCCACGTCCGATCCAGCTCTCTGCTATGGCCTGGGAAGCAGTAGAAGATGGCCCAAGTGCTTGGGTCCCTGCACCTGTGTGGGACACCCGGAAGAAGCTCCTGGCTTCGAATCTGGCCATTGAGGCCATCTGGGGAGTGAACCAGCGGATGGAAGACCTTCTGTTTTTCTCTGCCTCTCTATAACTCTGCCTTTCAAATAAATAAATAAATCTTTTTTAATAAAATCACTATTTGAGGCAACCATCTAAACCAACTGTTCTCATGATCACCTTATGGGAAAACAGAATCAAAGCCTCACATGATTTCACTATAAACATGGCTTTACCTGCAGTAAATCTTCACTTTAAGAGACTGGAAAGCATTGTGCATTATTCTGCTATATTTATTCTCTTAAGCTTGAAATTTGGTTACCTGAAATACTAGAATGTTCTGCAAAATGAAGTATTTCTACTCTGGACTGTTTCTCTTAAGTTATTTATAGTTTTAACAAAAGATGTTTAAGCTGCTAGGTAAAAATCCTAAATTTAAAAAAAAAAGTGGGAGCAGTAGAGAATCAGGATTTCCTACCTGTGGCAACATTGTGCAGAATTCCAACAGACGCTGTGTGATAAATTATATCATCACCATCATTTAAATAGTGAACATTATTCCTGCAGTCTCTGCCCCGATAACCGAAAACAAGCTCCAGCACGAGATCCTATAACCACAATGATACAACTATTATAAAATTACACTTTCTTATATACATGTAATAGCATCTTCTGTCAAAATGGGGGATGCATTTTTTTACATTTTACAAACTTCAAACACAAAATTAAGTAGCATTCATCTCTATGTGACCTGTTTTGGCAGCTGTAATTTGTATTTCATACTTTCTATACAAACTTGTAAAAAGGAAGAGAGAAGCATAAGGTTGCCTGATTCCAAAGGTTTTAGATTTAAGACTTTATATGCTAAACACTGAGATACTTCTTGTGTCCAAAGAAGAGTATTTCAACTTGTTGGTCCAAATATCTGATCTTCATACATAACTCAGGATGAACTGTGTCCAAGTCTGTATCATAGTCAGCAGCAGCAGACAAAAACTTAACTACACCTTGAGTAAAAACAAAACAAAACAAAACAAAACAACTAAACTACACCATCTGTGATAGCTCATGCTGAACTTCTGGAAGGTCATCCTGCAGCTGAAAGGTTGGCCTGTTTTCACTGACCTTGTGGGGCTGGGTCGGGGGTGGAGCTACACCTGACACCCTCGCTCAGTTTTACGCCTTGTTTGTGCCTGACTTAGTAGCCTGCTGGCTTGCTGCCAATGATGGGCTTATGAAATGCGTGGGGAGAGCCTTCCTTCTTCCTCAATTATTGTGGAAGGTTTCTTTGGTTGGAAACACAAACAAAAGGAGAAACAGTCTTCATGAACCCCATATCCAATACCATAAATACATGGCATAGGATAAAAGTTCCTGTCTTGGTACAACATTTAACCTTTAACTAAGTATAAGACATTGCCAAGGTGTCTGTGCTTGCATAAACAATAAATCATTCAAATACATTTACATTTAAAAGTTCTCTAAGATAAAGTTCAATTAAGGGTATTATTCATGGAAAAGTTAAGCTAAGACTCATTTTAAAAAAAGCAAAACATGGGGTCCGTGCTGTGGCGTAGCGGGTAAAGCTGCCACCTGCAGTGCCAGCATCCCATATGGATGCTGGTTCAAGTTCCAGCTGCTCCACTTCTGATCCAGCTCTCTGGTCTGGGAAAGCAGTAGAAGATGGCCCAAGTCCTTGGGCCCCTACACTCATGTAGGAGACCCGGAGGAAGCTCCTGGCTCCTGGCTTTGGATCAGCACAGTTCTGGCCATTGTGGCCATCTGGGGAGTGAACCAGCGGATGGAAGACCTCTCTCTCTGCCTCTCCTTCTCTCTCTGTGCAATTCTTTCAAATAAATAAATAAATCTTAAAAAAAAAAGGACAAACAGGGTATCAATACAAAACTCAGATATAAGAAATAAGCACTCTCTTTTTACAACCTAGTAAAAAAGGTTATTGAATACACTTATTTTTAAGAAAAATGAGAAGACTTGGATGTTTTACAAGGACTTGCGGGTACTTAGTAATACTGAGAAGTAAGTTTCCCTACCTCTATGGGTCTCTTTTTCTTGCCAACATTGTTTGTCTGGAGTTTCTCCGGCTGAGGTGGGGCCCTGCTCACCGGTGGCCTGTAGTAGAAAAGTGGGAAAAGGCGGCATCACTTGGGGCCTTCACTGAGAATTCCTCACCTGCCCTTGAGAGGCGTCTGTCACACCATTTCAGAAAGGAACCCAGGCCGATGGACTGTGCCCTGCACATCTTGATAGTTCTGAATGCACGAAAGTAGGAAGAAAATATTGGATCTTTTATTCACTTTAATTTCTTTGGTGTTTGTTTCATTGTGTAAATAATATAGTAGTATAAAAGCAGACTGTTTATAAACAGACATAAAAATGTCAGTTTAACATACTCAAAAATGTCTGGATGGGTGTATTTCCAACAAAGCCTGGATTGTTCTCTACAGCATCTAACAGCATCTTGTACCAGCAGACAAGACATACATTCTTCAGGAAGGTGAATTATGATAATTTTTCTATGACATTTCTTTCCTAATGGCAACATAAGTCATATCTGAGCTCAAATTGTACTCATTAGCTATACTGCCATGCCCTTTACCATCTCCACTTCCTGAGGTCTCTCTAATTGCTTAATGGCATCACTGTCACTTTACAGTCACAATGCCCTGCAAATCTTACTCTGTAAAATGTAATTACTATTACTATCGCCTTAGACTCCTCCTCTTGCCCTATTCTCACTATTTACTAAGTACTTATCAACTTTACCTATAAAGTAGCTCTCATATCTAGCCCTATCTTCTCTGTTCAGGGTCAATTTCTAATGTTCTAACAGGCATGCAGAGTTCAGATTCTCAATCAGTTAAATGACAGACTCTTCTCTAAAAGCTTTTAATTTAAAACAGTTTAGCTTATTATACTTATCTCAAATAATCTTTATCCAAATATTTAATAACCAAACACTGAATCTAAGTCAATCATGCGTCAACACTTCTCCAAATTTTAAGTTAATATTTAATTTGTAACAACTAAATCAAGAGGTGATACAAATTAGCTTTACTGTGGAAAAAATTCCAACATTTACGAATAACTCAAAATTAAAGGCATAAATATATTTGTATTTCAAAATGATTACCAAGTTATACAATTAAAAATACCATATGTTGAACATGTAATATAAAACAAATGTACATTTTTATGAATATGAAGCAGCATGTAGAATACACAAGACTGTCATAAAAAGTTAATGGCCTCATCAAAATTATAAAAACAAATTTCAAATTATCACAGAAATTTTTGGTTTAAATCTTCTTCATATACTTTTTGAATGTACAAATATAAAATAGAACTGAATTTAAAATATTCAGCATTTAAAAATATTTCTCCTAGAATCATTTTAAACAGTGATAGAAGCTTTAGCTTTTCTTCCAAGTCAATTTTATTGGTGAACTTTATTTACTGTTATTGACTAATAGCTTTCAATAGTTTTCAGCTAACTGAGTAAACACATAATTTTTAATTATATAATCCCACATACAAGCATATTTTATTTAAGATCACTTATATGAGGTATATTATTACTTAAAATTATACTTCTAAAACTATATAAGTTGGATAAAGTTTTAATAAAGCAGTTACTTATCCAGGGTCAGTCCAACAATTAAGATGCTATTTATTGCATGAATACTAATTTCAAAGGAAAAAAAGAGTATCTATGAATAGAAATAAAGAACACCAACTAATGTAGCTCTTTGATGGTAAATATGAGAGCTGAAAAACACAAAATTAGGGCTTGCTAAGCTTAGTAAAGAGAGGCTTACCTGGAACCTCTTTTCAGCAGCAGATAAAAAAGGGAAAAGATTATAACACAAATTTGAATTTACAACAATAGTAAAATAATTACTACAATAAAACATTTTGTAAGTTGAATGCAGATAGACTACACTGCATATAATTAAAGGCCTATTGTTTTTAGTTCATTATTACACATAAGAAAAGGTTTACATTACTCCATTAATGGCAGAGGAATCAGAAGAAAGAAGGTTAAAAAAGTGCCAATAAGAGAGTATTCAACATATTCTATGTTCTAAACTTTAAACCTAACCATTCCTCATTTTTCTACAAAATATTTTTTTTCTTTTTTAGATTGATTTACTTATTTGAAAGGGTTACAGAGAGAGAGAGGGAGAGACAGAGGGAGGACTTCCATGTGCTGGTTCCCTCCCAAAATGACCACATCGATTGGGACTGGGGCTGGACCAGGCTGAAGCCAGGAGCCAGGAGCCTCTTCCAGGTCTCCCACGCGGGTGCAGGGGCCCAGGGACTCAGGTCATCTTTGGCTGCTTTTGTAGGCCCATTAGCAGGGAGCTGGATCAGAAGTGGAGTCACTGGGACTTGAACCAGTACCCATATGGGATGCTGGTGCTGCAGGCTGTGGCTTTAACCCACTGAGCCACAGCACTGGCCCCCTTATCTTTAAGAACAGGAAATAAAATGTTAACTTAAAAGGCTGGTGGTACTGGAGCTGCTTTTAGGAAACTGGCTATAGAGGCTAACCTCTTCCTATTCTAAGCCAGGAGAGTTCCAAAGTTAGCCCACGGAAGCAGGCAAAATGAGTCATTCAGGACCATGCTACATCTGAGACTTTCGCTAGCCATTTACCAGCTGAAGTCTCAGATGCAGCATGGAGTAACTTTTTTGCTTTATTTCCTTCAATAGCATAATGACTGAGACAGGACTAGAAGGGATCACCGAAGTTCCAGTAAGCCAGGAACTTTCTCTCCCTGTCTAGAACTCCCGTTATAGCACCAACGACAACTGCTCATCTGAACTGCTTGAATACTCCTATCACGGGGGATCACTTTTTTTTTTTTTTTTTTTTTTTTTTTTGCCAGGCAGAGTGGACAGTGAGAGAGAGAGCCAAGAGAGAAGGTCTTCCTTTGCCGTTGGTTCACCCTCCAATGGCCGCCGCGGCTGGCGCGCTGCGGCCGGCGCATCGCGCTGATCCGATGGCAGGAGCCAGGTACTTCTCCTGGTCTCCCATGGGGTGCAGGGTCCAAGTACTTGGGCCATCCTCCACTGCACTCCCTGGCCACAGCAGAGAGCTGGCCTGGAAGAGGGGCAACCGGGACAGAATCCGGTGCCCCGACCGGGACTAGAACCCGGTGTGCCGGCGCCGCAAGGCGGAGGATTAGCCTAGTAAGCCACGGCGCTGGCCCACGGGGGATCACTTCTACATGAAAAGGGGTTCACATCCAAGACAACAAGTGTATCTCCAGTTACTTTTCTTATTTTGAAACAAATGATTCCCAGAACAATTAATTATTCTTTACACTGAGTGGCCTCCCAACCTTCCTTCACCCTGTGTGTTCTTCTGACCACTCTAAGCTGTCGAGGTCCCCTTTAATGGAGAGAACACTGAATAAGCTACTCCAGATGGGAGGCTAGGTCTGTATGCTCTAATTCTGTGCAAATTGTATAAGATCACGTGGGCCTTTTGAGAGGTTGTATCACACTCTAGATTCATCTTTGGACACATCACCCTGCTGAAAACAGGTAATTCCTGCTGGCTGTCAAATATATTAAGGGAGGCCTAAAATCTGAATTTCTGCATGATCTGGTCTCAAGTCTACTTTTTTTCTGTACAATCTCCCAGTACTTTCCTGTTGCTACATTTTTTACTTCTAAAATTGGCTAGCCATTTTTGCATCATCTCTGAAGACATTTTCTTCTCACTAAAGGGAGCAATAGAAGTACCCGAGGGCTGGTGCTGTAGCGCAGCAGGTGAAGCTGTCGCCTGTGGTGCTGGCATCCCATGAGTCCTGGCTGCTCCACTTCCAGTCCAGCTCTCTGCTGCGGCCTGGGAAGGCAGTGGAGGATGCCCAAGTCCTTGGGCCCCTGCACCCCGTGGGAGACCCGCAGGAAGCTCTTGGCTCCTGGATTCAGATTGCACAGCTCCGGCCATTGGGGCCATCTGGGGAGTCAACCAGCGGATGGAAGACCCCTCTCTCTTTCTGCCTTTCAAATAATTAAAAAAAAAAATACCCCAAAGAATCCTTACACATGTCATTTTATTAAACATACAGTACCATAGTTAACTTATTTTAATACTTTTAAATGAATGAATAGATGAAACACACATTAAATGAAGCTAACAGGTTTATAAATGGAGTAATCTTAACCACATTGATGAATGTGTAGTTAAGTTTGTTTTATGAACCTCTTTTAAATAAATAAACTTAAACAAAACTAGACCACAGTTGCTTGTGAAGTTATTTCTAAAATGAAATTATCATAAGAAAGACTGATAATAACAATCGCATACCATATGTAAAAATGCAACTCATTAGATTTGCTCTATTTCATTTTCTAATGAAATTTTCTTTCTCAACAAATATAGTTAAATACCTTATAGGGAAAAAAAAAAGGGCCGGCACTGTGGCGCAGTGGGTTGATGCCCTGGCCTGAAGCGCCGGCATCCCATATGGGCACCAGTTTGAGACCCGGCTGCTCCACTTCCAATCCAGCTCTCTGCTATGGCCTGGGAAAGCAGTGGAGGATGGCCCAAGTCCTTGGGCCCCTGCACCCACGTGGGAGACCTGGGGGAAGCTCCAGACTCCTGGCTTCGGATCGCCACAGCTCCGGCCATTGCGGCCAATTGGGGAGTGAACCAGCGGATGGAGGACCTCTCTCTCTCTCTGTCTCTGCATCTCCTCTCCCTGTGTAATTCTGACTTTCAAATAAATAAATATTTAAAAAAATATTTTAAGCTGGCGCCACGACTCAATAGGCTAATCCTCCGCCTTGTGGCGCCAGCACACCAGGTTCTAGTCCTGGTCGGGGCACTGGATTCTTTCCTGGTTGCCCCTCTTCCAGGCCAGCTCTCTGCTGTGGCCAGGGAGTGCAGTGGAGGATGGCCCAAGTGCTTGGGCCCTGCACCCCGTGGGAGACCCGCAGGAAGCTCTTGGCTCCTGGATTCAGATTGCAGGGTCCGGCCATTTGGCGCCATCTGGGGAGTCAACCAGCGGATGGAAGACCCCTCTCTCTTTCTGCCTTTCAAATAATTAAAAAAAAAAATACCCCAAAGAATCCTTACACATGTCATTTTATTAAACATACAGTACCATAGTTAACTTATTTTAATACTTTTAAATGAATGAATAGATGAAACACACATTAAATGAAGCTAACAGGTTTATAAATGGAGTAATCTTAACCACATTGATGAATGTGTAGTTAAGTTTGTTTTATGAACCTCTTTTAAATAAATAAACTTAAACAAAACTAGACCACAGTTGCTTGTGAAGTTATTTCTAAAATGAAATTATCATAAGAAAGACTGATAATAACAATCGCATACCATATGTAAAAATGCAACTCATTAGATTTGCTCTATTTCATTTTCTAATGAAATTTTCTTTCTCAACAAATATAGTTAAATACCTTATAGGGAAAAAAAAAAGGGCCGGCACTGTGGCGCAGTGGGTTGATGCCCTGGCCTGAAGCGCCGGCATCCCATATGGGCACCAGTTTGAGACCCGGCTGCTCCACTTCCAATCCAGCTCTCTGCTATGGCCTGGGAAAGCAGTGGAGGATGGCCCAAGTCCTTGGGCCCCTGCACCCACGTGGGAGACCTGGGGGAAGCTCCAGACTCCTGGCTTCGGATCGCCACAGCTCCGGCCATTGCGGCCAATTGGGGAGTGAACCAGCGGATGGAGGACCTCTCTCTCTCTCTCTCTCTGCATCTCCTCTCCCTGTGTAATTCTGACTTTCAAATAAATAAATATTTAAAAAAATATTTTAAGCTGGCGCCACGACTCAATAGGCTAATCCTCCGCCTTGTGGCGCCAGCACACCAGGTTCTAGTCCTGGTCGGGGCACTGGATTCTTTCCTGGTTGCCCCTCTTCCAGGCCAGCTCTCTGCTGTGCCAGGGAGTGCAGTGAGGATGGCCCAAGTGCTTGGGCCCTGCACCCCATGGAGACCAGGAGAAGCACCTGGCTCCTGCCTTCAGATCAGCGCGTGTGCCCGCCGCAGCG